GGGGTGGGGGCGCCGGGGTGGGCGAGGAGCCGGCGGGAGAGCGGGGTGAGCGCGTCGCCCGTCAGGAGGAGGCGGGGCAAGCTGTTAAGCGCGCTTCCCGAACTTGTGCTTTCAGAACGGGGTGCATGGGTCAAAGATGCGCTGCCTCCGTAGGTTTGCTGAGTACGCGTTGGTGAAAACAGCGCTTTTCTTCGTTTGTACCAGAGAGCTGTCGTGCGAATGGATGAACGCAGGGAAGAGCAAATCGTGCAGTTGCTGAACACTGTCCAGACTAAGAACGAAAAAGAGCAAGAAGCCATGTCCTGGTGGTCTGGGGATGAAGAAGGGTAAAACGAAACGCTTACGCTTTGTTATAGCTTGGATCAAATGATTTTCCTGCAGGTTGGAAGCAGAAAATACAGCAGAAGATTTCTAGATTCCCTGAGTGAATTAGGTTAATAAATATATTGCTTGGGTCTGTGTTTTGCTGAAAGAGCCAGATGCAGAGCAGTGGCTCTGATGGTAGGTTGAGTGGTAGTTTTCTAGAGATGTTTTGTGCCTTTGTTAGTTTTTTTTTTCATTACAAAGGAGCACATTGTGTTTCTAGATACCAGGGTCAAATATTTGATGACTGGTAATTTTTAAAACGTCAGCTGTTTTAACAACATACCCTGTGTTCCCCATCCCATTGGGGTCAAGTAACTTGTGGATATAATGTCTCAAGAACAGATACAAGGTTTGCCTTGAGTGGTGCCGTATGCTTTTCTTGGTGGCCAAGCGCATACTGGATATTCTTGAAAGTGTTTGTACCCTACATTTGTTTCAGACACACTCCAGAACAGCCTGCAAAAGTGAAACCAGCTGTGGAAAAAGCTCCGGTAAAACAGAGGCCGATCTTGGAAAAAGCATTTCTTGATCGAGATGCAGAATATCTCTTTGAGAAAAATGATCAAGATGCTGATTTAGATGAGCAACTCAAAGAAGACTTAAGACAGAAGAAATCTGATCCGAGATATATTGAAATGCAGGTACTTTCTAATGTGTTAAATGGAAAGCTTTTAACTTTTATTTTTTGTAAATTAACATAACCAGGACACATAACCACTTACAGTTTATTTACTGGGAAGTTGTCATGATGTTAGGTGTGCTAAAACAGTTACTTTCATAGTTTTTTACAAAACACATGCCCATTTATAGGACAGTGATTGAATAACAGACTTTAGTGATAATTTTGGATTGTATAAAATCTAAGAGCATTAGAAATTGCGCGTCTAACTTTAAGCATAAACATTTAGTAGATCTTCTTTGAAAATGAATTTATCCACAGATTTGTGTCTAAAACTAAAAGGAAAACGGACTCTGAAGAAATCACCTCTTAGAACAACATAAACTACGTTTTATAAAGGTGATGGATTAGGCTGATACACGGTGAAGCCGTTTTGTTTATCAGAAGCAAGCTCTCTGTTCAAGAGCCTTGTCTTGTACATGCATATATGTACCTTTTCATGTACTGAGCTGCTAGTTTAAAATAATTTTCCTAAATTTAGTAAAACTGAACACGTGCTTGAATTAAATTTATTTATAGTGGGCTTATGTTTATATGGGTCTTAGTTGAACAGAATGTCATGCTTTTTTCTCAGTTTAGTCTAGATAAAATCTGTTATATTACCTCAGTATTGAAAAAGCGTTTACAGATACTTATGATTGGCTTTTGCCTTTTTTTTTTTTTTTTTTTAAAAACCAGAAATTCTGAGAGAAACTCCCGTCATATGGGATGAGAAAGGTAAATGTATTTTTATCTTGAAATAGTATGCACCTCTGTTGTAAAATGGGAGAATTCTGTCTACATAACTGGGACTAAACACAATACGCAAGTATAGAACAGGAAACTTTTGTGGCAGGTGTGTTTTTTTTTGTTTGAGGGTCTCACCTTTTTATGAAGGTACTGAAGTTTCTAAAGTTCATTGCTTCAAGATATGTAGAAACTTATTCTGAGATCATATACAGTTTTATCAGTAAAGATAGTATTCGTAGAAATGGTTTTGAATGTTAGATGCATTTAATTCAATTTTTTTTAGACATATAGCTATTTTTTTCTTTTTCTCTTCAATGTTAATAGAAACAGTTGAATACCTGCCTTCTAAATGCTATGAGATTTTATTTTTTTTTTTGAGTTCACTTCACTGTAGTAGAGAATTCTCAAAATTCTTCTAAAATCTGTTGTGGTCCCTAATATTTGTAAATGTTTTTTCTCTGTTTGGAAACAGGAACTTGTAAACCTGATAAACAATAATCGGGTAACTGTGATTAGTGGTGAGACTGGTTGTGGAAAGACTACACAAGTTACTCAGTTCATCTTGGATGATTACATTGAGCATGGGATAGGGTCTACATGTAGGATTGTATGTACTCAACCTAGGAGGATCAGTGCCATCTCAGTAAGTGCTATTTTGACAGACTGAGTAACTTCATTGCTTTTTTTTGTGTGTGTGTGTGTGTGTGGTGTGGTTTTTTTTTTTTTTTCCTCCTTACAATAAATCTGAAGGGAAAAAAATTACCACCTTACTCGGAATCAATTGAATGAAAATACATTTATTATCGAGCCTAAACTTCCTGGGAAACTGTGTGGACTGAGTATGCAATCTGCTAGATTATTTGAAGGAAAGAAGAGCTGGAAAAAGTTCAAACAGTGAGATAGAAAGTGCACACCTCTCAGAGAAACTGATCCACCGTCCAGTCTACTCACACTATATTTAACACTCAAGACCAGAATTCAGCCTATAGTGGACAGCTAAGGTGTCCTTTTTTATGTTAATTTTCAGTCTTATACTTCTGCCAAGAATAATTTTGTTAATGTACACTAACCTAGCATTTTGTAAGTTTTGTTGGTTAGCAGAGTACTGGCACAGCAAGCCTCATTTTTCTGTGAATTTGTTTGTACCCGATACTAGGGTTTTAATGGAGTTGGACAGGGCAGATGCAGATTAAGGTGAATACTAATATTGCTTCAGGCCCTTTAGAAACACATTAATGACCAAGAAAGAATTTGACTGTTAAGCGTACAGTAATTACTCTTTTTGACAGTTAAGTATAATTTCCCGTGAGGAAAAACTTGCCTTAATGAAAGATGCATTCTGGGAGAATTTAGTGCTAATACCTAATAGGTTGTGTTCCTCTAAAATACAGTTTAAATTGCAAACCTGTTCTTGGGATCAGCCAGGAAACGCCACCGTCAATGGAAGGCAGAAAGTAGTTTTTAGTATTTTTTTCTTGTTGACTATATAATATCTCTGTTCTAGGTATTTCCTATTGATGAGTAGCTAAATTGTAGATCACCCTTGTGATTTGTTTGTTTGTTTTTAATGCAGTGTTTTGACTTTTAAGGTGGCTGAGAGAGTTGCTGCTGAAAGGGCAGAAGCATGCGGTAATGGCAAGAGTACAGGATACCAAATTCGTCTACAGAGGTAAGAAGGGCTCTCGTAGCAACTTTTGTGTCTGCGTATAAACTAGTAGCTCTTGTTAATCAAGCGTGAATATTTGAAAATTGGCTCTTAACATACACAAGAGCTTTCATTCGGGTATTTTCTCCAAAAGACCCGTGAATAGCTGGGGTAGGGAGTAAAATCGCTGACGCTCGGCAGAAAGTTTGAGTGCAATGGTTGTATTTTATGCAGCGTGTAAATGGGTAATTTGATGTTGATCTGCTGTGTTGCGAGTTAGTTGATCCCAAGCCAGTTCTGAACTCCACGCCATGTAGCCTTGGTTAGCGCCCAGTTGTACTTTGTCTAATAAGTCCTTTATCCAGCTCTTTTAAAAGGCTCTGCTATACAGACAGAGAGAAAACTGATATCCTGAATTCATTAATTTAAAGGAGGAATTGAAATGCTGAAGGAGAAAATGCTCAAAGCCACATTTCTGGGAACAGTTATGTGTTTGCTGCACTTACCTATTGAGTAGTTCCATTGAAATCAGGTAATAGTTAGGCACGTTGACAAGAATTCATAGGGTTGTGCTGTAGAGCAAAAGCTATTACGTCTAGGGTCATCTGTAACTTCAAAAAATTAAACTGAAACATTACCAGTAAACAACAAAATCTCAAATAGCGTTGAGAGCATCTGCTCTCAGCTCAGTCCTTTCGACAGCATTTTAATGTGAAGTACTAGGTTACCAACTCTCATTTATACTTTTGGGTTGTGTAATCAAGAAAGCTATATTGCTGTATGCTTAACCTCCAGCTGTCATCTGCGTGGCGCTTAAATAGCTGCAACAGTTTGGGATGAGCAGAAAAATGTGCAAATGATGAGAAATAATGTCTGGGAAGTCAGATGTTCTGTCAGGTTACAAGTTCTTCATTGCCCATCAACAGTAATGCTGCAACTCTGGGCTAATTTCTTGTTCCACCAACTGAACTTTAAGTGAGCAAGTTAGAGAACAAAGCTGAATGAGGTATACTTCATGATGTCTCTAATGACTATCTGCGTTTTGCTTTTAAGCTTTTAAAGTACTTTGTAAAATAAAAAGAGAGAACTCAGGAATTGTAAATGTATCTCTTTCAGTCGGTTACCAAGGAAACAAGGTTCCATTTTATACTGTACCACAGGAATTGTCCTACAGTGGCTCCAGTCAGATAAGTAAGTCTTCATATGTAGTAAGAAACTAAATGCAGTTATCAAATGACTTGACTAATGAGCTGATTCTAATATCTACGAGCTCCTGTTCTATTTTTTTATTGTTGCTGAAAACAAATATGTTTAATTTTTGCTCTCTTATTTTAGGCATTTGTCCAGTGTTAGTCATGTAGTCCTTGATGAAATTCACGAAAGAAATCTTCAATCCGATGTTTTAATGAGCATTATTAAAGATCTGTTGAATGTTCGTTCGGATCTGAAAGTAATACTAATGAGTGCTACTTTAAACGCTGAGAAGTTTTCGGAGTATTTTGGTAGGTGAAATTAATCCTATGAGTGTTCCTTCTTAGGTAATTTAGGCTTGTACAGTGTAATGCAGTTCTCAAGTTTTAGGTTTGACTTTTATTGAGGTTGATTCAACTTTTATAAATATTTACTAATTGTTGGAGATTTTTATTCCCTTAATTTTATCTCCTCATGGACATATGTTGCTTCTGTGTTTGCCATTAAAAATATTGTGGAAACGTTATCTTCAGAGTGAATGTCATATTAAATATCTACTCATATTTACCGTATTTTAGAAGCTGTGGTAAGAGTGAGTGACCGCAGTGAAGTTTTTAGTTCTTCGTTTTACAGGTTTTATCCTGGAACTGGAACCAGATGAAAATACTGGGAAAAACAGCGCTTGCTACCTGTACTTTTCCGTTTGGCCATTTTATTTAGATGTTCATTCGGCATCTTCCGTGAGATAGATGGATGTGTTTTTTACGAGAGTTGACGTTGCGGTTATACTGCCAAAAGAGTACAGAACGTTTATTGCCTACTGTTCTTACGCAAAATGCTATTCTTTCAGTGCTGTATTTTCTATTTAAAAACTGAGTTACACTTTCTCAATAGATAACTGTCCAATGATTCACATACCTGGGTTCACTTTCCCTGTGGTGGAGTATCTTCTGGAAGATGTAATTGAAAAGTTGAGGTAGGTGTGGTTTTTTTTGAGTGTGAGTGAACACCAGTGCATTGATAGCATTTTGTTCAGTTTTGCTTATTATGTCTTTTCAAAGCTTATCTCAGCGTAAATAACTAACTTTGTGAAAGCTGGTTTTGTTTTTCAAAAGAGAACTGAAGTTCAATAGCAGTCACCTTGTTCCAGAAAACCTTTCAAGGGAGATTGACTAGCTTCTACTGTAATTAAAAATAGTATTGCACTTTTAGTGAAGTGTTACGTTGTAGCAACTTGGAAATCTTGAGGAGGAAAAGAAAACTTTCATAGAAACGGAAAAACAGTTCTTGCGTGCAGTGTCTATGAATTTTTTACTAAATCAAACTTATCTTTTTATTTGTTCAGACTTTTTTCTAGTTGTCTTTATGCTTATTAGAGATAATGTTTTAGTACATAAAACTTCTTACAGAAAACATTTTTCAGGAATCCCATTAGATGGCATAGTTCCAGTGCTGCTTGTTGTCCATACTTCAGAAAGATACTATGGAGTTTAAAAGGCTTTAATTTCAAAATTTAAAATAATTATTTTTAACTTTAAAGGTATACTCCAGAAAACACAGACCGTCGGCCACGGTGGAAGAAAGGCTTCATGCAAGGACACGTAAGCAGACCAGAAAAAGAAGAAAAAGAGGAAATCTATAAAGAACGATGGCCGGACTATTTAAGGCAGCTGCGGGGCAGGTTGTTTTGAAGTTACTCTTCAACATTAAGTTATTTTGGCACTTCAGGACTGGGAAGCATAAATTAGTGCTTTATTTTTAACGGTGCTTTTACTAGTGACGTTAAGTAGCTATTGTGGAAAACGATAATAACGTAATTACCAATGCAGTTGGGTAGTGAGCATTGAAATGCTTTACAGTCATCGCAGAAAATTAACTTCCTTTACATGTGCAAACTATCAGAGAACTTGTAGCTGTTAGTCACGTGCTGTTGATCTTGGTATTGTCCATTACAGTCTTCAACATAACATTAGGCGGCTTGAGCTTTGGTCCTTAATCCTCTTTTGAGTTTTCCCCTTTTTCAGTTTTTCCCTTTGCGTTAGAACTCACTGTGTTTTAGTCTTATAATCAAGACAATACGAAATGCGCTAGTGTTTTTTCAGAAGCCTTTTCCTTAGATTGCTTTAATATTGCTCTAGAGTGGCTTAAAACCAAAATAAATTGCTAGAATTTGCTAGCGATCTGGATAAGCTGGTTAATTGGATAGCCTGGCTGATTTTGCCAAGAAGAGCATCTTCCTGTTTTTCTCCTGTCTTGCGTATCTTCTGTGTTTTGCGACTTTCTATATATCCAGTTTGGTAGCAATAATGAATGTAGGAGGCTCCGTTTTACCTTGCTTTCCCATGGGAACGAGTCTTAAGTGCTCTATCTCTGTCCCAACCCCCTGCACCACTCCTCCGTTTGTACTCCTCCTCGGTCCCTTTCCTGACAGATCTTTTGAACCAATTGGCAATTCTTTCCACGTTACTGGATTGCTTGAAAATGGAGGGCTGAATAGGAGAGAGATCCCTCACTCAGTGTTTACAGGAGGTGAATTGAAGGGTAAACTCAAATTGTTCAGATGCTAGATAATCCATGAGGAGGAGAGACGTCATGTAAATGCTCCAAATGCAGTTCAGTCATAACATGAAAGTTCTTAGCACCACTATTCTAAACTGATGGTAATTGCAGTAAACTAAATTTTACACACTGTATAAAAAATCCTCTCTACATCTTATACATTGTATAAGATCAGAATACTGTACCAGAATACTGTACTGTGCTGTATCAGAATACTGTACCAAGAAATATATGGAAGAGTAAGTGGACTACTTAAGCGTGTGATTGCAGTAGCCTTTTAACAGAGACATGAATGCGTGACTTTGTATGTTAATAAGTTATTAATATGCATGATTCTGATGCCTGTAGGTACTCAGCAAGTACTATAGATGCCTTGGAAATGATGGATGATGACAAGGTTGACCTTGACCTTATAGCAGCACTTATCAGACACATTGTTTTGGAAGAAGAGGTATGTTTCTATCTAGTATCACCATGTTTTGATACTGCTGCTGAATTGTGGTCAGTGGCTATCGGGAATGTCAGAGCTGATAAAGTTACTTTGGTAAATTATATAGGTATATGGAAGAAGAGTTTGGCTTTGCTTGTCTCAGGAGTTATCTGCCAGCTTTAAATGTCTAATCACTGTTTAAGCCGTAAGCTGAGAGTACGGGTAGTTGAGGTTTATTGAAATGATGGGATTCAATCCCCGTTTACATGGGAGCACATATCCAAGCATTTTCGTGAGTAGGCATTGTGAGCATTGATGAGAGCTGTATACTTAAGTCGCATAAGAAACTCGGAAGACTTGTAAATATATTCACTTCTCATAAATTCTCATTCATGGTCTTTTCTGAACAAGAGAAGACAATCAGACTCCTTACATTGACAGGAGAGTTCTTCTTTTAAATAAAACAGGGATAGACATCTGAAAGTTTGGGTGCTGTTTGATTCTAATTGTTTTCTGTTTGCTTGCTTGTTTTTGATAAGTATTTGCATACCACAAAGCCTTTAAGTAAATTACACATCTTAATCATTTGATGGAAAGTAGTTTAAAATTATAAACTAAATTTTAACTTTTAGCTCTTTTTGTGACTGAGTGTCTTTGTCTCAAAGGTAACATTTTTTGTATTGTGTATGTACGTAGTAAAAGTTGTATTTTGAGAAATAGCTGTAAAAAAAAAATACTGCTTGTAAACCTCTTTAACATACTACTAAATCTCTGTTCTTAATTTGTCAGCAATGGGAGGGAGAGGGCAAGAATGCAATTTAGCGTTGGTGCTCACAGTCTCATCTGCACTGTGCAACTGGCTTTAAATGTTTCTTTTCCTCTTGAGTAATCCACGTAGGACCTGGGTGCTGTGAAGACTGAATTGTTATACTGCCTAATGGAAGTGTAGTCACATGTGTACGAAAGGCACAGCTAGGAAACACTTCCTACTTGCAGATTGTCAAACTTAGTAGTTAACCCAGCTACATTTGTAACACAGCTGTCTCTGAATAAGAAGACAAGGCACAATCAGATTTATCTGATGACAGTTCTATGCAGCTCTGTTAATTATCCTTTAATTTAAAAAAAAAAAGTATTTGGGGACCTTCACTCACTTATGCAATGTAATATTTAAACTTCTGTGAGAGTCAGACCCAGTGTAGTAAGTCTTAGGTACTTTTTATTTCAAATTCTAGCTTCCTTTCTATTCTGTGCATTAGCGAAAAAAGATCTTGGAATATAATGGCATCAGATTCTTATGCTAAAAATCCTTTTCAAAGTCCCAGTAGATGGATTTGTCTGTAATGCTGTTGTGTGCGTTATTATCAAAGGTTTCTATGCCTGAAGCAGTGACAAATTTGAAGCAAGAATACCTTCGGTTGTCAGATGAAAACTATATATATGTTATGGGTTATGTTATAAGCATAGGTATCTTATATTTGTTTCTATGTTCAAAACTGTGTGGAGGAGAAAACACATTGGCTGACTTCTTTAAGAGAATTTTGAAAGAGAATTTTTTGAAAATGTCAACTCTCTCTTACATTTCAAATGTTAGACCACTTAAGCAGTGGATAACAGGAATGAGCTGCTGCTATTGCGCACTTTGTTCTTTCTGTTTGAAAATCATATGTTAGTTTTCCTCTCGCAATGTTTTATTTTAATTGCAACTCAAGTTGCTTGATAAGTTGACATGGCAGTGTTTAAAACGTTGCCAGGGAAAATTTTTAAAAGGAAATTTTTGTTAAGGTCAGATAAATTTCATTGTATGTTGCTAACTCTTTTCTGTAAAACAAGCTTGCAGACTTTGTCCTGGATTTGAGTCAATGATATCTGAAATACTGCTTATCCAAAATATGTACATCAATATACAAGCAGTTAATATTTTACATAGCATGTAATTTATCAAAAACATATTTTTCCTGCGTGTGTTTCTTTCTCTTCTTTTTAATATAGGATGGTGCAATTCTGGTGTTTCTTCCAGGCTGGGACAACATTAGCACTTTGCATGATCTCTTGATGTCACAAGTCATGTTTAAGTCAGGTAAAGACAAAATTTTACATTAAAATTCTAGCAGTACTATTAGTGGCAAACTCTTTAATTTTTGTGTATGTTTGCAGATGTTCCCCGGTTTCCCCCCCCCCCCACCTTTTCCCGTCTTTCCTCTCTTCCTTTCAAGATGATTACAGTATGTTCAGCCTTTTTTGCACTTCTATAGTTATCTTTCATCTACTAATGATGATTACCCATTTTTCTCAGTATAGGAGTGAACAATCTGGAAATTAATCTCAAACCTACATCTTGTTCCTTTTGTCCTTTCTTAAATCTGGATGGAGTTCATCCTAGATCGAAAGTCATTTTCTTCATTCTGCGTTGACTTCCTTTTTTCTTCATTCCTCAGCCACTTCTGCCTACTGCTTTGTTGATAGTTCTTTTAAATGCTATTTATTCCTAGAAGCTTTGTTAATAGAATACTAAAATATCCTGAACACTTTTAATTTGTCCCCTTTGCAAGGCTCGTGTTCAGCGCTAACTTGTCTAACTGTGTCATTGACTGTTGCTCAGATACGATCTGCTTAAAATTCATGATAAGTACGCTTAATGTCCACGTGTTGCAATGCAAGCAAGCATCAGTAGAGATTGCGGTAGATCATAGCTGGACTGGAATTTTTAGGACTAAGCCAAGAAAAAATTCTAAAACGTCTTTCTAAACAAAAAGCTTCAGTAAACAATCAGTTGATTTGTTTAATTGGCTAACCAGGCACCGCTGTGATTCTGTGAATGAGAAGTCTGTGCCATCGGAGTATGCTTGATTTTTGTGGGGCTTCCAGAAATAAGGGCTATATTTGATAAGTTGTGCAATATTACTAGCAGAGGTAACTCTATTGCCTGCGGTAATGCTTTAATTGGGTTCTTCACATTTAAGCAAAAGCAGCCTGAGTTGGGGATGCTTCAGACTTATTGAAAGAGGGAGGAGATTGTCAGTTTATTTATTAAACTTGAGCTGCTAAGAAATTGAGATACTAAAAATGAAATCTAGCTTACTGCACATTATTTCGTATAACTTCTTAAACTTGTCAAGTCAATGTAGCAAAATACAAAATGGCAAATGCTGAAATAAAAAGCCGTAAAGGAGTTTTAGTTTTTTTATGATATAGATACATGTATTTTTATGGTTTGCTAGCATTTGGGGAGGACTGGAATTTGTTTGAAGACTAATGTTACTAGTGTTTTTTTTTTGTTTGTTTGTTTTTTTTAAATGCTCCTGTCCTCTATCTAATGCAAGCCATTTCAGCAGAGGAATATGACGATTATGTATCGCAGATAAAAGTAATCTGTGAACTTAGGAAACTTTTCTGCTTTAGAAGTAGAACGTATTTCGAGATGCCTTGGCCACTTAAGTTAATTTGTCAGCAAAGAATATTTGTTGTGGTGACAGACCGGGTAAAAGTCTAACGTGAATTTTAAGAAAAATTATCCTGAGCTGTATGTGCAGTTCATGGCCCAGAAATACAGTTCTCTCACCCCCCATTTTTCATTATAGCTGATATTGAATTTACTTAGATTGTATCCCTCTGAGATTCCAGGATTTAAATCTGTATTTTGTGTTGTTCTCCCTCCCACCCCTGCCAACCCCCAACCACACAGAAAGAAACACGTACAGTTCAGCTGGGGGTGGATAAATGCTAGTCAGAAGGAGATTTTACATTGATATATTGAACATGGCTGATAAAAAATCTAAAAAGATATGATTATATCTTGATGATTAAAATAATTCAGAATAAGAAACAGTAAATTTACTTACATCATAATTTCTTTATCCTCTATACTTAATTTTCCTGGATGCTTAAAGTTTCTGTGCTTATACCGTATCTTTTACTGTTTTAATTTTCAGATAGGTTTATTATCATACCTTTGCATTCATTGATGCCTACTGTTAACCAGACCCAGGTATGCTTTTTCTTTATTGTTGCGTAATAAAGTAACTTTACACAACTACCAAAAAAAAAAAAAAATGAATTCAGCATACTTTTGGTTTTGGCAAACATGTGAATGAACGATGATGGATAATTACAGGTTTTTAAGAAGACCCCACCAGGAGTAAGGAAAATCGTGATTGCTACCAACATTGCAGAGACTAGGTAAATAGCTAGCTATACAGCCTAAAGAAAGCTATACTTTTAACAAAATAAACAGAAGTGGTAATCTAAAGTATAAACCTGTTTCTAAAACAGTTGTTTGGATATTTGTACCATTCATTTTGTAACAGTTTATCTTTAGAGATGTTTATAGATTAAACTGAAGTTTTCCTTTAAGAATTGTTTGCAACAATCAAAACATGAACGATTATAATGACTCGTACTTGTTGTATGTGACAAGTCTGAGCTATCTGTCCTCTTTGCAGACTTCTTAACCCCGTGTTGTGGCTTCTGCAAGACCTAGGAGAATAGATCAAGCTCTCTCTTGAAATGCTTAGTAATGTAATTCTTAATGCAATTCCCAACACAGAATTGTTAATGTTGGTTTGCAGTTTGGGGTGGGGGGGAGGGTAAAGATGCTGAACCTCTCTAAAATCCTGGGTTGGAGCTTGCAAAGATGAGGAGTTGCATCTTTTTTTTTTTGTCTCTCTTTTTAAACAGCATTACAATAGATGATGTGGTATTCGTTATAGATGGTGGAAAAATAAAGGAAACTCACTTTGATACACAGAACAACATTAGCACAATGGCAGCAGAGTGGGTTAGTAAAGCTAATGCCAAGCAGAGGAAAGGTCGAGCGGGAAGGTAAGAATAACAAAGCTAGTTAGAAAATATTTATGATGTTAAGCTTCCGTCACCCTTGGAGCACAGAACTTTGATAGCCACGTTAGAGCATGTTAAATATATTGCTTTGTTTTTCACTGGTTCAGAAGCATGATGGTCTCTTGCTCTCATTGAAAGAGTGGTTTCACCATTTTTCTAGGAAACTGACTTACCTCGCACCGCATTTGGAAGCGGGGAGTTTCCCTCCTCGTTACAGAGGAATAACAAGTCATGCATTTTTTTGGTTTGTTTTTTAATTCTTTGTGTTGCTGGTGTTTACCTTCATACCTCCTTTATAGGGATACAATACATTAAAGCAAAAATTACTTGTAAATTAATATCTAATTAATCTAATAACGAATAGCTAATTAATTATTAGCTAATATACCAAGCTAGTTGAAATTTCTCTCCCCTTAAAATACTGCATGGAATATTTTCTCCTGTAAGCTCTTCAGACTTACTGTTCTCTGATCTCTTCATTGCTCCTTCCGAGGAGTTGATAGGGAGTTTCTGTTGTTCAGTGTGTTCTTGTTTTCCTGTAGTCTGGTCTGTATTTCAAAAAGCTGGAATGGCTTTACAGCTGAGTTCACTTCAGTTTTAATGCCTTGAGATGTTTTGGAAAGCTGTTTATTTTTAAACACAGTCATCATGTCACAATGCCATAGGAAGAAATACATTTTTTTTAATATGTTACAGAGTTCAGCCAGGTCATTGTTACCATCTGTACAATGGACTGCGTGCTAGCCTTCTAGATGATTATCAGTTACCAGAGATCTTGAGGACGCCTTTGGAAGAGCTGTGTTTACAAATCAAGGTAAATATGTGACTCTTCAAACATATATCATTTACTTTTGCAATGGAATAAGAGGTTGAGAGATTACCTTAATACAGTTCTGAGGCTGAGGTGGTCTTCCGGTCAGAATTGTTATACCAAGAGTACAATAGCCTTAGCTAATAATTGTAACAAAGTTTGCAAAGTGCATACTTGCCTGCCCCCCCCCAAAAAAGTTTGTGTCCAGTACGAATAAAAGCTCGAGCCTATTAACACAAATTTGGACTGTGCTTTTTTTTCTCCAAAAATATCATTTGTCAGAGGAGTTTCTGTGGGAATGCCAGTGAGTCACAAGACATGGTATCTTTGAAAAATTTTACAAAAGAGTAGTTTTAGAACTGATATGAGTTTCCTTTTTGGCAATTTGTTACTGAAGTCTTTGTCTGTCACTCATTCTTCAAAGTGAAGTCGTAGATACCACTTAAAAGCAATGGAGTTCATGACTTAACTGTTTATATAACATGCGCATACCTATTGAGTGAAGAATAGATCTTTATATATAAAATGTCTTTGTTAATGCATATTTTATTTTTGCCCTTAATCCTTAACTAATGACATTCTACCTCAAGCTGTGAATTAATCAGTGCAGTACTTACTCACCAATTTGAGCTCGATACCCATCCTTCTCTAATCATGTCGTTGTTTTTTTCTGTTTTTTGTCCCCCCCACCCCACCCCACCCCACCCAGATTCTAAAGCTTGGCGGAATTGCTTATTTTCTGAGCAAACTAATGGATCCACCATCTCGTGATGCTGTAATGTTGGCCATAAATCATCTAATGGAGCTGGTAAAGTATTATTTAATGTACTGTTTCTTGCTAGGAAAAACTCCCTTGGAGCCATGTTACTGAACCGTTTCTTATCAAAGACAATTCTGACTGTGTGGGTCTAGACGTGTGAATCCCCTTATTGCCTTCTGCAGGCCCGTTATATGTCAAGGTTGTACAGTGTTCTGTCTTCATGAGAGTGAACGGAGGAAATAATTTCCATTCCCAATAGATGAAGTTTTATGGGTTGCATAAAGTAGGTCACGAGGGAGTTTCTAAGTTACTCAAAGCACAAATATACCGTCTCTTTAGGTTCTGTATAGATATTTAACTCTCTGCTTCTGTAACATCTTGCTCATGGCTATGTCCACGTGAGCCTTCCTGTCCCAGCTGGATTAGTAAAGAGTTTGAGATGCCTTTTTTCTGTGGGCAGTTAAGGGAGGTGGGGAGAGAGCTCGTATGTCAGTGCCCTTGTGAATGAGAAGGGATCACTGAGAGCAGAGGCTAATGAAACAAACAAGCTAGAAAAGCCCCTTAGTATTAAGTTGCAAAAGGCTGCATGTTGTTTGCATGATGGAGACCGAGGGTTTAATGACACATTTGTGCTATTTGTTGTTGTTTTTTTATTACCTGTACAAATCAGTTGTAGTAGTAAATTGAAACACCTGATTTAGTTGCAGGGCATCATTTAGATTGAAGGCAAAAATCTGTACGTGCTCGGATGAGTGTTCTGTGACTAGGCTGTATAGTAGCAAAGGAGAGTCTTAAGTAAGAACAAAAGCGATGTGGCGGGGAAAGTATGAGTCTTAAGAAATAAGCTTGATCAGGAGAACATGACATTGGAAAGTGTTTAAAAAATGTTATACCTCTGTCCAGAAAGACACTGATCCCGATAAGCTGCTTGAAATAAAATTAATGATGTTTTCCTTTTTCTAAAAAGGGCAGTATTAAACAGTTCTCCGTAATTTTGTATAATCGCTTTCCTCCCTTATGTTGTGAAAGCTAGCTGCGTTCTCCTCCCGTTGTTCTCTAGGTATACCAACTGCTACTTCAGGGAAATCCTCACCTTTTCAAATAGTGTTTGTGGATTTTATTTATTTGTTTTGACAGAATGCTTTGGACAGGCAAGAAGAACTGACTCCACTAGGTGTCCATTTAGCGCGATTACCGGTTGAACCACATATCGGAAAAATGATCCTTTTTGGAGCTTTATTTTGTTGCCTGGATCCAGTACTTACAATTGCAGCTAGCCTCAGCTTCAAAGACCCTTTTGTCATTCCTCTGGTAAAGTCTCTAAGAGAATTACACATAAGAGATGAAGAATCTCAAAAGGATTTTAGAGCTTACTGAAATACTGTAGTTTAAAAGCCCTTTAATCTTATTTTCACGTTAATTACATTTGTTAGTGAAAGATTGTCTGGGTGTACTGTGAGATATTAGCCTTGCTTATAGAGTAACTTTAATTTTCATGTACGTTGCACGTGAAGTATTCATGCATATGTGTGCTTTAATTAGGAAAAGAGAACTGGAAGAAAGAATAGCTTGTCAATCATGAATATTTTATAGGTTCTAATTGTTCTTAGGGCAAAGAGAAAGTAGCAGATGCAAGAAGAAAGGAGCTATCAAAGAACACTAAAAGCGATCATCTGACTGTGGTGAATGCTTTCACGGTAGGCTTGTTTTCATTAATTAGTTTTTGTTTTTTCTAGAAAACAATATGCTTTATTCTAAGGAAAAATCTGATCAACGATTGCTCAGAAATATTTCTCCTTGGCTTTCTACAAGAGCACAGAACCAAATTAATTTTCATCCTTTTAGTGTTAAGGAATCTTGTCTTCAGACTCAGTAGCCGAATTTCTTGTGGATAGGCTTATGAAGAGCAGGCAGATGTAACTTAATAGTTAAAAGTGGCTGTTTGCTGAATGTATGCTTAATGTGAGCTGAACATAGTCAAACCTTTTCTTGACGATTTTCCATTTGCCCTTGAAAAATCACTAAGACTTTTGTCCTTCTGGCCTCTATAGGAGGCTGAAGCTGACTGCAGAAGTCTTGGAGACTTCTGTCGGGCTAAGAAGAGGAGGAAGTAAATAGCCTGGAAATGTTGTGCTACCCAGGGCTGCCGATAACAGCAAATGAAGTTCTGGGAAACTTGACTATATTTCACTCCTCGTTATGGAAAAACTAATTTTTCAATTCAAATTGTAAAGTTGTATTTTTATGCATTTTTTGCTCCTTATAGAGAGAGCCAGTTTTATGTAATACAAAGAGATCAAAGGGCTTGCTTTCTCTTTTCCAGAGAATATAACCATATTGCTTATTGATGTCCAGTTTTTGCTTTGTCCTCTTTTTGTATTTTTTCACTTTTAAAATCTTTTGAACTATGGTGGGTTTTCCGGATGTGGGTTTTTTTTTTTTTGTTTTTTTGTTTTTTTAAGGGCTGGGAAGAGACTCGGCGTCGTGGTTTCAGAACTGAAAAAGATTATTGCTGGGAGTATTTCCTCTCTTCAAATACACTCCAGGTAACATCTTAATGCTTTGAAAAAAGAGGATTGTGGGAGAGACAGGGAGAAGCCTTTGGCACACCATCGTTCTGTCACACTTCTTATTTCCTAGATGCTGCATAACATGAAAGGACAGTTTGCTGAGCATCTCCTTGCAGCTGGATTTGTGAATAGCAGAGACCCCAAGGATCCCAAATCTAATACCAATTCAGGTGACGAGTGGAAGGAAACGGAAAACTTGTGATATCTGGAATCTGTTTGCAGAACTGCATTATTCACTTTGCTGTCTTCTACAGATAATGAGAAGTTACTCAAAGCAGTCATCTGTGCTGGTTTATATCCAAAAGTTGCAAAGATCCGGCCAAGCTTTAGCAAAAAGAGAAAAATGTAAGGACTTCATATCTTATTGGTTTGTATATGAGGTGTTTTCTACACCAAGTAGTCTGGCAAGGCAAAGCAACAGCTTGAATGCGTGAAGTTCTTTGTGCAGCTCAGTCGTGGTGTGAATTACTTCATTTGTGAATGACAGACCAGAACATGGGATTGTTGATTTCTACTTACTGAAACTGCAACGTTGTTTAACCGTTTGGATACCTACTGGTATATGCAGTGATTGGTGTGAGTTATCGCACAGTCTGTAGTGTTACAAATATGTCAACAGCATGACTGTTGAGGGACTCTAGCCATCGCTTTTAATCTACAGCAACACATGAAATACTGTCCTTTCTTATTATTTGGCCAAATAGAGCCCAGCAACTCTGGTCTTTTGATTACCATTTCTTACATTCACAGGAGTATATGTGTTCTGTCAACAAAGCATTAACAGTCTGCTCCTCAGGATACAGATACTCCTAGTCTGTAAACCAAACGTAGGACAGAATGAAGGGTTGAACGTTTGGATCATCCTTCCAGGTGTGCAATGTGGAAATAACGTGGTAGGAGCAATCGCTATGTCTGTAATTCATTAAAAAAAATACCACCACCACCACCACCACCTCAAGTGATTATTTCCGTGAAAGGAATAAGAACAGCTAGTCAGAGTTCTGCCTTATATCAAAATTAGATTACCTCACGTAAACTGAGCTATAGCTGACAACCACTAGCCAGATCTGTTTTAAATTGGGCTCTGTCAGCTTGAATCACCTAAAGGATTCATGTAACATTAGGTTTGCAAACCTGCTGCAAGATGCTGTATCGCTGTCTTTGCCACGTGGTGGAGCTAGATGCAAACCGGCTGCCCAGGAAGGTTCAGTTTTGCCAACCGTTAAGCAAGAGATTTGTTATTCAAATCACTTTGCTAGAATAACTATTTGAGTAACAGTTTCCTGTGGGCTCTTTCTGTTCCAAACACTTAACTCTGTATTCTGCAAAATATTTCTTCGGCACACAAGGGGTAGAGTGCTCTGTGACCCACAGCTGAAGAATTACAGCTCTGAAATAAGGAAGGGAGGAAAAAAACAGTTGTCTCATACATATTGTGCTTGATTTCTCCTTTTTACTCCGTGAAGCCATTATTATTGGGAAGTAAATGTGCTTTCAGATGGTAAATGTAACCAAAGCGTATGAAGGTTATCCCTTGAGTTGAATTGTATCAAAGGCAGGCGTGTGTTAAACGCTTGCACAACTCTAGATTGAAAGTGATGTGGCTTGAAAGTCCGTTCTCCCGCGTTGTTGTCACCTCTTAACACAGAGCAAAGAGCTCAGCTATCTAAGTTGCTTATGTGGATTTTCCAAGAAATAGATAAAAACCTTGGTTTGTGTAACCAAATGTAGTAACTCACTGAGCCCTTCTTTCAGGAAAAGAATGCCGCTTGTTTTTCTGCTTGAGAAATACAGGCTGCTTTAAGGTATATTTAACAAAGAATTCGGGCTTCTCAAGTGGAGAGAGATGGAAGTCTAAAAATTCATATTATGTATTCTTTTGTAGTCTTTGTGGGAAAGAAGTTAAAACTTCTTTGAATGTCCTTCTGTATTCAGAGTTTAGAACCCAGTAGTGGAGAAATGGAGTGCTTTTTTAACTTTGGACATAAATTGCTAACTTTTCAATATCTTATTTCAATCTTAAAAACCGTTTTTCTTCTTTTAAGGGTGAAAGTTTGCACCAAGACCGATGGATCAGTTAATATTCATCCTAAGTCTGTTAATGTGGAAGAGACAGAGTTCCATTATAACTGGCTTGTGTACCATTTGAAGATGAGAACTAGCAGTGTATGTGAAAGTTTGTATTTTTGTGTAATTTATTTTTGTAGCTCTTTAAGTAATAAGGCTGGCTGAAGGTGCTTCTTACTGTGGGCTGGAAGGTATGCAGCAGCTTTGTTTTGAAGCCTTCCTGTTTTGGGTCGCTCCTTTTACATGCCATCAGGTTCTGTTCTGTGTGATGCAGGCATTGTTCCACAGACAACTAATATACGAAACCGTCAGATGTTTACGTCTTTGTGAAGCCAAAGATAAAATACCTGCTTCTGACAAAGACAGATGTGTTGGTGTTTTTCCATTCATCTAGTGCGACACTTTAGAATATATGGAAGAAAGTCAACTGGACAAAAATTTATCTGATTGCTGACGGAATAATTGGTTTGGTTTCTTGTTTAATCAAATACTGCTTTTAATTTCTTCAACTGAGTCAGTTCAGATCTGTTCTGTAAATTGATGAATGACTCTGAAAAATGATCTTCTGGAACTTTCATGCGTACTATGTTTTATTAGGGATTAAGTCATATCATTTAATATGCTTTAAAGGGTGACTGGACAATTTTGTCTTGTTGCAGATTTACTTATATGATTGTACAGAGGTTTCTCCGTACTGTCTCTTGTTCTTTGGAGGCGATATATCCATTCAGAAGGATAAAGATCAAGATACTATTGCTGTGGATGAATGGATTGTTTTCCAGTCTCCAGCAAGAATAGCGCACTTAGTTAAGGTGACTATGTTTAATAATAAGAGTAACACATATGGAAGACTTACAAAATCCTCTAACAAGAACCACTGTTACAGTCAGTATTTGATGTTGCTGTGTACCTACTAATGCATCGCTGTAGGAAGATAACTGATATTTTTAATGTATTCCCACTAAGTAGTTCAAGTACATGTTAGGTTTACATTTCTGTAACGTATATATGTTTTTGCACGTGAACAGTATATGGCTTTCTTACCAGGTGACTCTGGGAAGGAAGACTGAACTATTGTCTATTTGAGCAAGTGATGCTGTTGAAGCACAAAGACATTGTGCTAGTTGTAGAGTATACGTAACTGGCCTCTCAACGCAGTGTCTCTCAGTCGTGGCTAATAAAATGCTCGTTACAGTGAAGCAGATGAAGAAATCTTACTGCCCTGTTTTTAAAAACCTTACTGAATTACTCGAAGCAAAATTTTTAATGAAGTGGAGAGTCAAATTCAGTTGCTGGCAAAATGGGGGTCCAGTAGAGTGCTGTTTCTGGTCCTATTCAATTTATTGTTAAGCTACAGAACACAAAAGTAATTAGTGAAGGTTTGTAGATGAAGGTAAATTTAAAAAATGGTAGTGAAAACATTCTGAACAGTCTGTCACTTGATAAACTGGGCAGAAGTAGACAGTAAACAGCTATTACAGGCCATTGCATCCAGAGATGGTCATCTGCCATAAAAGGTAGAACTTTCTGAGAAGAACCTTCTGATCCTGCAGTCAGCAGTGGTGAAATGAATTGACATTAGAATAGTAGGTGACAAAGATCAGGAAAAGGGAGCACCCAGGGGATTTAATTTACTGTAGTAACGTTGTTACACGAAGTTTCCTAAATGCGTCTCTCTCTCTCCATTTCCACGCTCCTTTGCAGAATTTAAGGCAAGAGCTCGATGATCTTCTACAAGAGAAAATAGAAAACCCACACCCTGTGGACTGGAACGATGTTAAATCCAGGGATACAGCAGTGCTGACAGCTATTATAGACTTAATCACAACACAGGAGAATGAAAGTGCCAGGAACTATGCTCCTCGATTTCAGAATGAACGCTATAGTTGACACAGTTGCATTTGTGTTGATAAAGCCAACTTATTCACCTTTTCTGTTTGTTTTTTGTTTTGTAGCATTTATTTAGCTAGAAGAAAAACTTTTTAGGGCGAGCTGCTAATTCCCTCATACTGAAGAGCAGTTATTTCAAAATATTTGGCAATATCTGTATATGCATGGTATTCTGTGTTTAACGTAGCTTTTAAAATAAGAGAAAAGGCAATGCTAGCAGTGTTAGTTGGTGTATGTTCTTGTCCTGCCCCTGTTGACTCCCCTGAAGCAGTAGCTTTTTTCCATCAGGTAATAGATATTCAAAAAAAAAAAAAAAAGAACTGCTACAATACTGGTTAATTAAACTGTCATAATCTTGCTATTGGTAGAAACATCGCCAAAGGTGTTTTATTGGGGTGGAGAGGAAGTAGCTATACCTACTGTATATATGTATTCCAGCAGTGCAGCAGTTTCCTCACCAGCATTTCCACATAAGGTAATTATAATTTAATTATAAGCTAAATTTGAAAATAAATGTAGTTTCTTTCCACAGTACAAATTCAGTTTTCAGGAATATTCTCTCCTTTCTTTAATTCCATTCAGTTCATCTTTCTTTGCCTTCTGTGCCCATCCGCCATTGGTGTTGATGAAAATACTAAACTACAGGAATGGTGTTTAGATAATCTAAAGTCATGGTGGGAGTAATTTTTCTTTTTTAAAGCTGTACATGTACGGGTTATGTAGTACTACATTAAAAGACTTTTCTTTAAAGTGGTATTTTATATGTCCATAGTTCTTAACGTTACTCTGTTTTGGGTGCTTCCGGATACGTAAGAACATCCGCCTGATGATGTGTATTTTAGCATTTAGAATCCTGCTGCCACCAAACGGCGTGAACGCGTGGCGGAGCTGCCCCTTCCTTTGCCCCTTCTCCGAGGCGCGCGGCTCTGGGCCGAGGTCGACGGTCGGCGGGAGCCCGGCAGCGCTCTGCTGGAGCAGGGCAGTGCTGACGGCTGTGGAACTAGAGATTTGAAAATACTAGCGGTTTAATGAGCAGCCTGCCTTGGTGCCTGCGCTTGCAACCATCGCTCCACAGCTTTAGCCTTGCGGAGCGCAGCTGCTGCTTCTCCTCGGGCTGGTGCGGAAAGGTAGGTAGCTGCTCCTCAGCTTCCCTGTGCCCTGCGAGGTCCTCTTGGAAGCCTTTCGTGACTCCCGGTGTGGGAAACAGCGGACTAAGCATTCTGTCAGCCTTATCCTCAAGAAAATGGGACCGAAAGCCTGTAGGACTGACTAACCGCCAGAAAGGCTTTCCACGTAATATATTTTTAAACTAAGGGGAATAGGAAGATTGGTGAAGCTGGCAAAAGCATCTCTTGTGTGGTAGAAACCGTTCTGTATCGCTAAGGAGGAGTGGGAGCGTTTCACAGACCCGCCCGCCTTACATCTTAATGCGGAGAGGGGAAAAGCGTATCGGCCGTAGGGGCGGAGATGGTTTAAAGGTGAACGCTTTTTCCTTCAGGGATGTTGCCGCAGGTGCGCGGTGGC